ATTATTATTTACCTATCACACTGAAGACTGAACTTGATAATATACTGAGTTGAAAAAATAGAGATGAGCAGACATTTCCACAAACAAGTTGACAAAAGTGTAAATGTAAAACCTTCGATGGGGCAATTTTTAATACCTACTAAAATATTAAATACGCATATCCTCTTGAGCTACTTCTATTTCTGGAACTTATCCAACAAAATTACTCCAAAGATGCAAAGATATACATAAAGAATAGAAATACTAATTGCAAAAATAATAACCTTAATGGTCATCATTTAAGGCAATTAATGATGGTCTATCGTAGCCTCAAACATCACATATTATTAAAGAGACTGGAGACCGGGGCTGAGGTGGGGAAGTGACAGCCCTGAGCGGCAAGTCTGTTTTATCTGGCCAGTAATGTCTTAAAACATATTATTAACATGCTATCATACTTAAGAAGAAAAGAAATCCCAAAGACTCAAAGCCACAGGGGGTTCGCCTACTGCTTTATATATTTCTCTTACTTGAATTTCTACAATAATCATTTTGCAATGACCTTTTAACTGGAGAGACAAATAAAACAAGAGTTTCACTGATCCAGATGACATTAGCTAGTATAAAACTGAATCATTCAGCTGCAAAGGCAGCCCACAAAATCTGTCCAACCCTTTGAAATTGGAACTGAAGTAATACTCTCCTACAAAACCTAGTAAAGGAAGATAAACAGAATCCCTAAGCAGTAAATTTAAGTCAACCCACATTATCAAGGGGACTTGTGACAGAAGTTTTAGGTCTAATAAAATGTTCTTATTACTTCAAAACAAAAAACAATGTTTAACACTATGGGCTGGACAATCATTTCTTTCAGTTTTGAAATAGCTGTCTCTCAGTTTTTGAAATAGCTGTCAAAATTTGTTTCTGCAATTTGGAAAGAAACTTGATCTGTGTAACAGTCAATTTAACAATAATTATCCAAACACACACAATATTCTAGGAAAAAAACAGCAAATTAAGAGAAACTGTTGGTTTATCAGTTGCACAAAATAAACATTTGAAAATTTTGAAACGTGTACTCAAACCTCACAAGTTATGTGCTATAGCATTAATATATGGCGACACAGAAATGCAATCACAGCTGACTTTTTTTAAAATCACCTTTTGGAAAAACAAAAAATGCTTACATTAGTTTCCTTCCAAAAGAAAAGGAATCCCTCCTTTAAGAAATGTTCCATCTTTCATTTCTGCATAGAGACAGGCAGCGAGGAAGAAAAAGCTGCAGTGACATGAAAGGTTGAACAGGCAGGAAGGACAGGCAGTCACCGCTCCACAAAAACACCAACAAATGGTTGAAAGAGGCAAAGAACAGCAAGAGCAGCTAAGAAACCGTTTCCTGGAGGCACCAAGAAAGCATGGAGACATTCGGACTAGGAGTCAGAGCAGACACTTAAAAGGGTCATCCATTTATTTCTAAGACGTGGGAAAAATAACCCCACTTCTGCCGCCTGCCCAAAGGCTCACAAGAATCTAGGCCTGCTGGGCCAGATTCACGCTGGTGACACAGGGATCGACGTGTGTCACTGCCCTGGAAGTTAAGTGATCATCAGAGCGCTCTAAACATTGTTACTTTGACAGATGCCTCTCCCCACCCTCAAAAAAATAACAAAATAAAAACACTTCATTTGCAAGTAACAAATCACAGGGGGCAAACTAACAATCCTTTCATATGTTACCAGGAAGGGCAAAGTGCCTGAATTCCTTCTGAACTGGAAGGCACTGGCGTCTTCCTGGTGCTCCTTGTAGGTCAACATTCTGAAGTAGCCCCACATTTAAATACATATTTTAAAAATCTAATGCTTCTCATTAGCAGCAAGATAGAGAATGCTTACAAGATTATATTCTCCTGGGCATCTCCAAATGCAGCTGCAGGATGTAAATTACCAAGCCAACTAACTGCTTGCCCAGGTGCTGGGTGCACAGGTGAGGGCACAGGTGAGGACCCAACATGAGGGGCCGGTGCCCGGGAAGGCGCTTGAAGTTTGCAGCAAGAAACAGATGGATGTACAGGAAGAAATGCACTAATAAGAGTAGCTCCTGGATCCGTTTCTTCTTTAAAACTGGAAAACCCCACTCACCAAAGCCTGTGCACCAATGTGAAGACTTACAGAAAACAGCTTCCAGATAACGACTGAGAAGACAAAGTGACGAAAGTCACCTAGTGACAATCTTCTGATGAAGTCACTTATGATGGTGACCAAGTGTGCAGCCTCTGGCCTGTGTGTACCTTCCCACATTGTTAAGCTTAATGCTCCTTAAATGATTAACTGGAGAGCAAAATAAATAAATGTAAAACATATCTGTCTTCAAGTCAGAGGTGGTTTTAAAGGAAAAAAGACACATCTTCTGTATTAAACTGCACCAGACGTCACCCATGCTCTATAACCACAATAACAAAAAACTAGCTCCCAAAAGTGACTTAAAAACACTCCATACGTAATGGAAGAAGCCAGTGTGGCCCACAGAGGTTAGGGCACCCTCAGACCCTCTGCACTCACTCCAAGCTGCAGCCCGGCCAGGAACATCCAGGAGGGAAGAAGCACAAGACGCCAGTGAGAAACAGAGCTGCAGAGGACTCAAACTGCAGACAGCACTTCTAAAGGATCAACTTAGAAAAATAAGTACTTAATTGAAGCAATGTTAAGACAGCATTTCCAAACATGGGCAGCCTTAGACCTGGGGTAGTGGACACCTTACACCTGCTCCCAGGAAAACCTCAGCCAGACAGGCTGACTTATTTATCCTTCTGCTGCTGACCTACTTTGAACACCCAACTTTTAAAGCATATAAAAGAAATTGATATTTAGCTGGAAATGCTCAGTGAAGAAAAAATAAATAGGGGAATACTCTCGGCTGAAAAGCAGTATTAGACTACTAAAGTCCTTCCCAGTCCTAAAACTTTGATTTACTGTGTTAACAACAAAAAGCTTATCAGAAACTGTTATGAACCTTCAGCAATAGTCAGCGATGGTTTTACAGGGGCAGAAGGGAGGTGGTGTGCAGGACAAGCTCTGGAAACAAAGTCCACTTTTGGGAGCAGCTCAAAAATGAACACGTGCCCTGAGTTTCGAAGCAACAGAACCTAAAGCTGGTGGCTGGAGACCACTTTCCTCCCTCTGCCCGCCTGCCTCGGAAATGGTCTTTTCTCAACCTGTGTGGGGTACTGTGAAGTACCAAGTTTAGAAAAGAATTGTTTTATTAAAATGCCATTTTTGTCTTACAATTTCTCACAAAATTTACAATAAAAACTGAGGTATCTTTACATTCATTGACATTTATCTGTAGCTGACAAAATTTAAAGTAAAATTCAATTAGTAAATGTTGTTTCCAATAAACTATACTCTTAAATTTAACACCCAAACTTACATCATGAGCAATTCAAGCTGTGCATCAATAATGAACTTCACTAATTTCTTAATGTGTCTGAGTAAAGCAAACTCTTCTGGGCCCTCATCAGATCTTTAGAGCAAGCAAGCTGACTTGACTCTGGTAAAGCTTAGTTTCCTCAGTGGGGACCAGGAAGTGGGAGGGGTACAGAGGAGGGGGGCACAGTACAACCACCACAAAATCAAAAGTGTCCCGGTGTGCCAAGTGCCCAGCTGCTGCTGCCCTCTTTCATTACGCTTTGGGTTGCACTGCGAGGCTTGTGATGGGTGGCAAAATTTCTAAATTTTATTCCTACGAGAAAAATAAATGAGGTTTCTTTTTCCTTCACCTCAAAATTTCCGAAAGGTCAGACAAAACTTTCAAAGGAAAAAAGACACAATGTTCCTTTCGAGAACATTCAGAATATTCTGGCTAGCATAGAAAATAATCCCTTTCACACTTGGTATATTAATAAACAGCCATTTGCCTCTAATATCTGGGCCCTGACCTGTCCCAGGTGATGTGGAAGCTGTAAGCACATTATATATACTTACATATATAATTGCAAGTCAGAGTTCTGAAAAGTTGTTACAAGAAAAAAATGCCTAAATAAGAGTCATTCCAAGCCCGTGTCACCATCAAGACCACCATGACGTCACTGAGACCATGTTCAGACAATGTTCCCAGCAGACTCTGCCAGAGACAGAACTGACACTACTCGGGAGCCAGCACGTCACAAGGTCAACAGATCTCAGACGACAGCGATTTATGGCTTGATCGCTGTCTGATATAAAAATAGCTACTCACTGAAAACATTTTCAGAACAAATTCCATTCTTTTGATGCTTCCATCTATTACATAGCATAATTTAAATTCTAAATCACTTTCTTCCCTCTTCCTGATTCAACTCTAAGTGGCATTCCACATCCTATGCCAGCACTTTCAATACGAAACAAGTACTTAAACAGATGCTTTAACCAGAACCCCACTAACTTGTTCTATCTTCTTTAAACCTTTGCCATTTTCTTTACACCTTGCTGCAACCATTTTCATGTGTTAATTATAGAATCTATCACAGGCTCACTGCCTTCCTTTGATATCAGAAACCTGACCAGGGCCGACCTCATTCAGAAAATGCCACAGAAAAAGGAAATTCCAACCTCTCAACACCAAATTAAAAATTCCTATGGTGAGCCTCAGAGTTTAAAACAAAGTGTATAATAAAAACCACTCTCAGTCCATTAGTACGAGAGGAGGAAACAGGTGCTAGGCATGCCTAACTCACACTGGTGGGGGGGTGGACAACTCGCGTCAGAATGGCTTGTTCTAAATAGTGATCTGATGAGGACGTTACAGAGCATTTAAGAGGTTTTACTTAAGTCATAAGAATCAAATTCACTTAACAACAGTGAAAGTACATCCTAGACACTACAGCTCTGGAACCAGTGTGGCCTGCGTGTCCTTAACAGCTGCGGATTAGAAAGAAACAGCAATAAGAAGGCGGCCACCTCGAGTTAGTAACTTGCGCTCAATAACCAACCAACATTCCAGCGGCAAAGCCCAGCGGCCCGAGTCACTGCAGCGAGTTCACCAACCTCCCTGGTCCCGCGCAATGAGCTCACAGAAGTCAGGATGTGCACGGGCTGGATCCTTCGCTGCTTCCATTCTTGGTTTAAGATCTCCGTTCTTTCCAAAATTTTCTGACGGTTGGAACTAAACATACTCTTTAAAAAAGATGAAGGAGAAAAAGTGTTCATTGTTAGAAAATCTGTCATCTCTAAGACAGGCTAAAATCTAGGGTTTCTCCACGATACGGGGAACATGCCCTCATCTGCATGTGGCATTAGTCTAGACGGTCGTCCCCACATTCAGATAATAGGCAAGCGCCGCGCGATGACTCTGTTGAGAGTGGGGGGGGGACAGGAAATTCCTTCCATTCTTTTTTTGTTAACATTGTACTAAAAAAAAATCACAATGACTACAAACATGAAACCCCTTCCTCTGTGTCTGGGCCCAGAGTTCAGCGCAGGACCGTGTTTCAGGGGCGCGCGGTCCCCGTCGGCCACCATCGGCCCACGCCGGGGGTGCTGCGCGGGACCGTCTTGCAGGAAGACAGGGCCCCGCAGATCCCAGTGCTCATCGCTCCAACTATAAAAAACGGTCCCCGTTTAAGTTAAACGTCATTGGGGGGGGGCCCCTAACGCACAGCGTCCTGGGGACAACGCCGTACCTTGACTTCGTCGGCCCTCCGGAACCGCTTGAGCTGCCGCAGCCGCATGTACTCGGACTTGACGCGCTTCCGCCAGCAAACGGGTCCCTTCTCCGACTTCTTCCCAGTCTGGCCCATGGCTGTTCTAAAAGCAAGGGTTTCGCATTAAAATCACTAATTTAACCAGCCTCAATATGATACGTGCTTTGACCCCCAGCCAACCATCCACCACTGCAAGAAGCGACACACGCACACGCGCAGCTAAGGGGGTTCGGCATGCACCGATGCTCTTACAGCATTTCCTTCAAAGCACCAATTCTCATCCAGTATGACTTTTAAAAAAGGCAATATTATTCACAAAGATTCTCCACTCCTGAAGTGGACAAATGTAAGCCCGTGACAGGATTAAAATACACTGTAACAAGTTACTTTTCACCATGAGATCCACACTTGTGAAGGGGGAAAAAAATGTAGAAACACTCTAAACTTTTATCACTAAATTAGCTGTTCCAGACATAAATGCGTAACTTCAAATAACTCCATAAAGCAAAATATACAGCACCAAAAGTAGAAAATACACATGATGTAATAAATGCACACATTACCCTCATTCCACTTACATTTAACCATACTTCTCACCTTAGACAGTGACTTCAAAGTCTGCATTTTTCTATCTGGCACCACCTATTTACCACAGGGGTTTTCAGGCAGCAAGACTAATGGGAAGTGAATCCGCCCATCGTTAGCTGCAAGCTCCAGCAGCTAAATTATGTTTACATGTGTGGACATTATTCCGGATGACCAGCGTCTAATCTCCAGTGGAGCCACATTTCAAATCTGAACACGGGTCCTCTCCTAGAACACTGAAACCATCCTTGTATCTTCAAGGGGTTAGAAGGAGTTTCTCTGATAGGAGAGCAGTGGAAAGCTCTGGAGGTGTAAGTGCAGGAGGAGAAATTGCACAGAGAAAAGCCCTGCAGCCCAGGGCAAGAGGTGGAGAGTGAACCTCAGGTGAGGCCAGGCCGCCGCAAGTCTCCAGACAAGAGGTGCTGGCAGTTTCAGCAACTTACACCGTGACCAGAGAAAGTGACTCAAGAATTACTTCCATCAAAACTTGGAAAGGATATAAAAGTGGCAGAAGATGACTCTCTGGCTGGAATATTCGAATCAACGAGGTGCTTATATAACACCCCCAGGCATAGAGAAAAGTGCCTAAGGGGAAGACTGAGAGGAAGAACAAGGGCCCAGAGGTCAGCGGGTAGCTAAAACCACCCAAGAATGCAAGCAGCCGGTGGTCGGCAGGGCGGGAAGAGGACACAGCATCAGGGGAACAGCGGGAAGGTTGAGCAGAACACAGAACTCGCGCTTATGGAGCCAAGAGGGCGGGAAAAGAAAACATCCGGTGCGACACAGACACAGAAACCCGGGGGAGCAGACCGGGAGGCGGGAAGAGACAGAAGGAGCCTTGAAAGTCAGTGGATTTCAAACAACAAAGAACGAACGCAGGCAGCCCGCGGCCAGCAAGGGATAGGTGCAGGGCAAGTCAAGGCAGAGGTCGGACTTGACCTGTGAGAGGTAGCCCCAAATGACAGGGTCTGCGGGAATGACGAGGAGGAGGAGACTTCCAGGAGGAGGAGACTTCACAACCTGGATCAAGGCTGGGGGAGCTGCAGGGCTGCTCCGCCCTGGGGCGACCTGCTATGGTGGCAGAGGGGGAGCAGACAGTGTGCTCAGAACTGAAGTCTGAAGACAAACCCCAAATGACGGTCTCTAAGGGGCAGCAGAAGAGCGCAAGAAGAGTTCGGAGGTGGTGAGGAAAGGGCCAGAGGACACCAAAGTTAGGGACAGGTGAGTTTTATTTTTAATAATGATTCTGCGGCAATTCTTTGTTTCCATATCTATTAGTTATTGAACAGATAAGCAAGTACTTTCATGCAGACTGTTTTCAGACAGTTAGCACGTCAAGGGCTGGGAACAAAAAAAAGGGGTTATCTGCGCCTGCACCAGCTCAGAGCAACCACCGCCAGCCCACGTGGCCCGCGCAGGACTGCCCAGGCCACGCCTGACCAGACTCCTGGCGCACAAGGTGGCGCCACTACCGCCCACTCCTCTGAGGGCACAGGCCTGACCCCCTGAGGGCCACCGTCCCCCGCCACCCACACTGCTTGGGATAACACCACCACCGTCTCTGACCAAACTAACAGTAAGATTCCCAAGACAGCATCTCAAAGGCGACTCTAGAGCAGTCTCCATCAGAGGCATACATGGATAAAAACCCACCTCGGCGAGTGCCACAAAGCTCTTCCAAATCAATAAGCACAGAAATGAAGAGCCGATGCTACTGGGCGAGCTGGTGAATGTGCAAATGAATGATTCACTTTGGAGAGTTTGTGAAATAGAAATAAGGATCACGCCCTCTTAATCACAGCCTAAGAAGTAAATCTAAAAGTATTCAGACCGATCTTTGAAAGTATGGGGATAAACACGCATATCCATGAAGAAATAGTAAAATTTAAGACACGATTTGGACAAGCCGCACTGCCGGAGTATTCACAACATGTTCAAATCAGTCTCATGCTTTCCACTCCCGACCCGACTGAAAGCTTTCCAGGAGCAAGAGCCATTGTTCCCATCTCTGAGATCGCCGAGCTGGTTGTGTGACTGACAACCGGAAGTTTAAAAACACACACCACAGGCACATGGGCCTGCCCTGAGGACAGGCCAGGCCTCCCCACGGCACGGCACGCAGCCCCGACCTGGCTGCCGAGGGTGTGGGAAAGGAGGTGGCCGCTGACAGCACAGAAAAAGAGGGGGAAGCGCCCCACTATCAAGAAAGCCCAGAGGACGTGACCCTCGGGCAGGCAGGGGACCGCTGCTCCGCCGTCACAAGGCTCGAGTCTGCCTCCCGGAGCTCTGGGATTTCCGCACGAGGCAGCTGGCGCGGCCGTCCAGACCCTGCCCCGAGGAGCCGCAGCGCCGTCCTCAGAGCGGATCCCACAGCCAAGTGCCCCGCGCCCGCCCCCCGGCCCGCGGCTCCGACCCGCCCGGGGACGGCTTCTCCCCCGCCCCGACGGCGCCGGCTCCGGGCCCGCGGCAGGAGGAACCCTCGAGCCTCGGGAGGCGGCACCGCTGTCCAGCTCCTGACCTTTGAATTTCCCACTGGAAGGGCGCTTCCCGCTCCGCAGAGACGCACCCGCGTCGCGCAGAGACGGAAACGGCTTCTGAGCGGAACCGCCGCAGCGCCCGCCCGCGAGGCCGCCGCCCCCGAAGGCCCGGCCGGGCCCCCGCGCACAGCCCGGCCCTCAGAGCGCGGCCCTCGGAGCGCGGCCCTCGGAGCGCGGCCCGGCGCTGGCCCCGGCTCCGGCTCCGCCGTCGGCACCTCCCGGGGCACAAGGCGCCCCGCCCCGCCCCCGGCCCCTCGCGGACCGCCACCTGCGCGGGGGCGCTGGTCCTCCCTCCCCACGAGGCTCCCAGTCCAGGGGTGTCGGCACCCCGCCCCAGCGCCCGGGGCTCCCGCCTCACCCGCGGGTCCCGCAGGGCAGCGGCCGGCGGGAAAAGGGGCCGCTTCCGCTTCCGCTTCCGGGTGGCCCCGCGCGCCCAGGCCTCGAGGCGCCCAGGGTGGCCCCTCAGCCACGCCGAGGCCGCTGCCCGCGCCCCACCTCCTTCGCGGCCTCGCTGAAGCCGCCCTCGCTCGGGCGCGGGGTGCACGCACAGAAGGGGGGGGCTGCGCGGAGAGGGCGCCGACCCCCGGGGCAGGGCCGCGCCCCCGGGACGGCCGGTTGGCAGCAGGTGCGCGCGGCGGGGACACCACCCCAGGGGCTCTCCGGGGCCCAGCTCGGCAGGACAAGGCCCCCCGCGGACACGGGGTGCAGGACGGGGAGCCACGCTCTCCAACGCAACCAAGTCCCGTCGTGACCGCAAGACACTCGGGCCTGGTACAGCCCCAGTCCCAGCCGCGCGCCCGCCGGGCTGCGTCAGGCTCCCGGCGGCCCCGAGCCGCGAGGCGCAGTGGGTGCGGGCGCGGGGCGTGGGCACCACCACGCGGAGGGCAGCTGCGGAGGGCAGGGCTCGCACAGCTGGCGACCGAGCTCATCGGCCCCGACTTGCGTCTGCAGCGCCGGCCGCGCGGACACGGGGCGTCGGATCGGGACAGGCGCGCTCCCCGGTGGACGCCGCGAAGGCGCAGACTGGACAGAGGCGCCCAGGGCCGCCAGGCCCAGACATGAACTCTCACCGCGCCAGCGAGGACTGAAACAAAAGGAACTTCCACAGGAAGAGCCAGGTCTCCCAGGGGCAGAGAAAGAGAGCGCGTGCCGGGCAGCGTGGACTGGAGTCAGAGACACCTGCTCCAACTCACTTGTTCAAACAGATGTGCAGACACGAGAAGCAGCTCTGCCAGCTGAGATGGGCAGCAGACAGCACCGCCCAGCTCCGTGCACAGGCCTGGCGGGGCTGACACGCTGGGAGCCGACACCCGGTCCTCACGACGTCTTCATTCTCAACAGCAAAGTGCAAGGAGGCGGGCTCTGGAGCAGGTTCTAGGACAAGGACAGAAAAAAACAAAAGCCCACATCAGGGAGGAAAGGAACTCTGTCTGACAAGATGCAAGGAGGGGGACACGCCAAAGGCAGGCCCCAACCCAGAGGGCCTCCCAGCGCCGTCCAAGGCGCACCTGAGCAGCCTTAATGGCATCATAACCACGTCGCTGAAATAAGGACCATGCGCCCATGAGACACGTAAGTGACTAAATAAGTGGGAGAGAAGGGGCGATTCTCCCTCGACCCAAATAAGAGGCGTGTTCGCAGCTCTATTCTGGAGCGAGAGCTCAAGGCCCTTCCCTGGAAGACGCAGTGACTGTTCCCAAAGCAGAGCGGCTGGACAGGGAAGGATGATGTCACGCAGAGAAGACACCACCTGCCCCACGTGACCACGGTCAGCACGTGGGTGGAGTCGAGGAGCACAAGTGTCCTGACAAGGTGTGAGCAGAGGGCACCCACCTCCGTGGGCCCTTCCCCAAACCTCATAACCCATAACCTCAGTTTAATCCACAGAAACAGCAAATCAACCCAAACTGATGGACATTTCTACAAAACACCTGGCCACCGCTCCTCAAAACTCAGGTCATAAAACCAAGGAAAGAATGAGAAGCTGTCACAGATGAGAAGAGACTAAGGAGCCGGCCAACACACTGGGCGTGGTGCTGGCTGACAGCCGAGACCCAGTCGTGAGAAACTGGCAGGCTCCAAAGATGGGCTCCAGCTCAGGTAATGGTGAGAAAGCGCTGGTGGTTTCTAAATTCTGACAGATGTATCAGTTGCAGAGATTTTAAATTATTCCAAAATAGATATTACTTTCAGAAAATTAAGTCACACAGCAACCAAATGTAAATAAAGATACTCATTTCTAAAAATGACAACCACTTTAAATGAAAAACAGAAGTATATAGAAAATGTTAAAATGCTATGCAAAATGTTAATAGAAAAAATATATACAAAGATGATATTAGATCTATTTAAAAACACGAACTTAGAGAAAACCAGGTACTAATTTCAACAGCCGTGCCTTTGTAATTCTTAATTTCAAGGGAATTTGAGGGAAAAAATTCCCACATGTAATCCTATTTTAAAACTGAGACATCATTTGAACAATTTACAAGTGGGGAAAAGAGCTCCATGAGCTGATGAGATGATCTACTTGAGGTGTGATAAGGCTTTCCAGCTACGCTGACAGAAGTCAAGAGCCTGAGTCCAGGCGAGGGCCACTGACACACATGAGGAGGTCACACAGACCAGAAGGGGCCCGCGTAGGTCCACACTCCTGCGTGTAAGCTGGAGAGAGATGCCCGCCTTTGCCCCAGCTGGAGACCTGAGTCAGAAGCACCAATCACAGAAAAGTGCATGTGAGTTTGCTGTTTGAATAGAGAAGTGTCAATACACACTCATTCGACAAATATTTATGGAGCATCTAGTTAATACATGCCAGGTACTATTAAAGACACTGAAGACTTAGCAATTAGCAAAACAGACAAAAAAATCTGTGAACACAAAGAACTTAAAATCTACGTGGATAGGGCCTCCCCTGGTGGCGCAGCAGTTGAGCGCTGGGCTGTGAGGCTGCCCGCAGCCTCTGCAGCACCGGGGAAGGCGAGGGTACCACCAAAAAATAAAAAAATAATCTACGTGGATGGAAGCAATCAAAAACAAAGGTGAATGTTTAGCACAAAGGACAGTGTTAAGAGCTGTGAGGGGCAGGTCTACATAGGGAGGACGGATCCAATGAGGTGGCAAACAAGGGCACCCTGACAGCCTGGTGGAGTGCAGGCCGCCGCCCTGCACGCTGCTCCCACTACCAGCCCCAGTTCATCAACGGCAAGTCCAGGAGTAAAGCATGTCCTAATAAAGATTCCAAGAGTAACTGAAGTGCAGGTTTCTGTGACAACACAGTGCTTAGGTGACTGACACAGCTTTCCAGAATCTTCAACTGGCATACAAGGGTTCTGACCTGTTGCTGTTAGAGGAACTACAAAGAAAGGCTAAAAGATAACGTGACTTTTAAGTCATTTTTGTGCAAACAGCCATTGTGTTGGCATTAGAAAGCCATATTACAGAAACAGATTTATTATAAAACTGGCCCTGAAGCTGTATCCTTCTAATAAGCTCTAGTGCCAGCTATTCAGTTTTAACAAAACAGCATCATTAAATGTACTGTAGATTTAATTGTATTTAATTTGTAACTTTCGTTTTGCCACAAGTTTATATATCTGTAAGCTTTTAGGGGGGACATATTAATAAAATTAAAGCAACGTCAACCCTGGGGTTCCAGTCAACATTCAACTTTGAAAGGCATCAAATAGAAGAAAGTGGAGTGCTGAAGTCCTTCGGGAATGGAGGGACTAGGGTGCCGGCTGGGTCCTGCAGCGTAAATGGAGATGCTCTAAGACTGAAACCGCAGTTGTAGTCACATGAAGGACAGACAAGAGAGTGAAGAGAACACAGGCCCCAGGCAAACCACCCTAGCAAAGAACCTGGACTTCAGGATACAAACTGAGACATTAGCGAGCACAGAGCTGTGACTGGCACAGACACACCGACCAGGCAGGACGCTCAGAGAAAACGCCACACGCCATTTTTGAGCATTTGGTCTCAGGACCCTCTTATTTATGGGCTTTATCTATATTTATTTTTAGCATATTGGAAATTAAAGACAGAAAATTTTAAAACCTCAATTCATTTAAAAGTAGGTCTATTGGGCCTCCCTGGTGGCTCAGGGGTTGAAGTCTCAGCGCTGTCAAGCTACTGCCAGCCACTGCAGCCTGAGTTCGATCCCTGGCCAGGGAGCTAACCCACATGGCACAGCAGACCTCTCCTGTCTCCCGGCTGCTCCCCTCGGCAGTGTATTTCAGTAGATCCACCTGTTCTGCTCCCCATTCTGTCTTTGGTGAATCCTCTCACCCCCACACCTCTGGCCTGTAACCCCAGTTTTGGTATGCATACATAAATCATTGAAAAAAAAATAAAATAAGACTATTACATGTTTGAATAAATAACATTTCAAAAATCATCTTTTGGGGCCTCCCTGGTGGCGCAGGGGGTTGGGACACAACCTATGAAGCAGTCCACAGCCTCTGCAGCATGAGTTCTATCCCCGGCTGGCAAGTGAGCAACCCACATGGTGCAGCAGACCTCTCCTGACTTGCCCGCTGCTCCCCTCAGCAGTATATTGCAGTAAGTCTGCCTGTTCTGCTCCCTACTCTGTCTCTGGTGAGTCCTCTCACCCCCTATGCCTCTGGCCTGTACCCCAGCTCTTGTATGAATAAATCTTTTTTTAAAAAAAAGGAAAAAAAATCTCTCTAAAAAAAGTCAGTGGCATCGTTTTACATTTCTGCCAATTTAATACCTGTTTTACTGAGTTTTTTTTCCTAAACCTGTCTTAATAAAAGACAGCTGGATTCTGAGCCTCCCTGGTGGCACAAGGGTTTAAGCACCGCACTATGAAGCAATCCGCAGACTCTGCAGCACCAGTTCCATCCCTGGGCAGCCAGGGAGCTACCCACATGGCGCAGCAGACCTCTCCTGTCTCACCCGCTGCTCCCCTCAGCAGTGGATTTCAGTAAGTCTGCCTCTTCTGTTCCCCACTCTGTCTCTGGTGAATCCTCTTACCCCTGCCCCCGCATCTCTGGCCTGTACCCCAGCTCTTATATGCGTAAAGAAATCTTTAAAAAAAAAAATAAAACACAGCTGGATTCTCATATGTTTCTGCACTTAGTCTATTGTTTGGTTGAAGAATATGAAGAAAATATAGTCCCAATCAGAGTATTTAGCTAGAATAGAGTATTTGAATACTCTTTTAGGAACCTCATGCTTGGATGCTACATGAAAACTGTTCCATGAAAAGAAATTCACCCTGCAAGCCAGCCTGCATGCTGCTCCTGAGGAGGACACTGGTCTCCAGCAGTCGGTGCTGGTTTCTGAAAGTTTAGTTGCCATGAAGCATCTGAAACTGTATCAAAGAACTTTTCCCGCTCTGCTACCTTAAAATGCAAAGTCTACCCATTCGGAATGGCTTGATTTCATAACATCATCACTCCTCACTTGAAAAACACCAGTTCACTAAGTTAACGCAGATTTTCCAGAAGTAGTCATAACACAAAAAATCATACTTGATAACCCACTAATCTCATCAGAAAGATCTCTATTACAGACACAAGCTTTCCAAAGCTCCTAATTTTTGCTTAAGGGTCAAATGTTATCACCACCACAAATACAGCCAGTTGTTTTCCTAAAGTAACAAACAGGTTCCTTTTGCTGAAAAATGTTCCCCAAACACCCAAGTCCAAATAAAGCCCTGTTCAAGGAAAGCTGGTGTTCCCAGCACAACAGTGGTGGCATAGCCACCGGGGCGCGAGGGAATGGGCCCTTCCATTTCTGCACAAATATAAAGGGCATGTGCCCTCAGGATCAAGAGTCAATGAAATTGATGACTTTTATTACTCCATCAAGGACACTCTTACATAAAATTGACTTTTTTCATACACCAGATGCTAATATGCTGGTGGTTTTTATCCACCATTGCCAAGTATGTCAACACAGTAGAAAAAGTCTAATAACAAGAGCATTGCCACTGAAACAGTTTTAACCTCACAGACCCTCTCTGTGGTCCAGACCACACTTTGAGAACAGCTGCTGTAGCACATGCAGACAGTGCAGGAATGAGAAATCACAACACCCGCCTTTTGCTCACCTAGCAAAGAGCCTCCAACAGGCAGGACATTCAAATACTTCTACAAGACATTATTTTGTAGGAATTGAAGCCTAAACCACCACTTACAACTAAAAAAAAAAATCTATGTGAATATATAATGAGTGAAACTTTCCTAAAATTGCCAAATGAGTTTGCCAAACATCTGAGCCAAATTAAGAGACTGACATCTAACAAGACGTGCCAGGATTTCATCCTACACGTCACTACTCTGCAACAGCTCACCAGCCAGTCACACTCCTGACCCTCCTGCTCCCCAAAACAACCCCATCCTACCAAC